TAAAACAAGGCCCCGATGAACCTTTCTCTGAGTTCGTTCATCGCCTTCTTACGGCAGCGGGCAGAATTTTCGGCAGTGCTGAAACTGGAACTGACTTTGTTAAACAACTTGCATTTGAAAATGCTAATGCTGCTTGCCAAGCCGCCATACGTCCATATAAAAAAAAGACAGATATTTTTGGCTACATCCGCCTTTGTTCTGATATAGGCGCCGCCTATCAGCAGGGCTTAGCAATGGCTGCTGCTTTACAAGACTATACAGTCAAGCAATTTTTAACTCACCAAACAAAAGGAAAATGTTTTCAGTGTGGAAATGTGGGACACTTTGCCAGGGATTGCAGGGCAGCAAGAAACCCTCCCCCTAAGGCTCCTGGCCTTTGCCCTTGATGTAAACGTGGCAATCACTGGGCAAACGAATGCAAATCAAAAAGGGACGCCCAGGGACAACTGCTTCTTCCATGGTCGGGAAACGGGCACAGGGGCCAGCCCCAGGCCCCGAACCAGAAACAAATTTTGGGGGCAGTCAGTTTTTTCCTGCAGGGCCATCAAACTCCCAGCAACAATCCGTTTCTACCCTCTACAGAGCCACAAAAGGAAGAGCAGGACTGGACCTCTGTTCCTCCACCCACACAGTATTAACACCTGAAATGGGGGTCCAGGCCTTGCCTACTGGTATTTTTGGACCCCTACCAGATGTCACATGTGGAATTGTTCTGGGACGTAGTAGCCTAACCATGCAGGGCTTGCAGGTTCTTCCTGGATTAATAGATAGTGACTATTCTGGGGAAATTAAGGCTATGGTTACTTCTCCCAAGGTCATTAGTACCATTTCCCCTGGACAAAGGTTCGCTCAATTGTTATTACTACCTATGGTAAAAACCAATAATCCTGCAAAAAAATGCCAGCAAGGGGATGCAGGCTTTGGCTCCTCAGATGTTTACTGGGCTCATTCTATATCTCATAATAAACCTATGATGACCTTGTGGCTAGATGAAAAACGATTTGAGAGACTTGTAGATACTGGAGCAGATGTTACCATTATATGCAAATCTCAGTAGCCTCCCAGTTGGCCCAGTAACCCCACACTTACCAGCCTTACCAGCATTGGACAGTCTAAAAATCCAGAGAAGAGCTCTAAATTATTAGTCTGGAGGGATGAGCAAGGCCACACAGGAAACATTCAGCCTTATATTCTGGAAGGCCTTCCCTTTAACCTCTGGGGCAGAGATCTTCTCACCCAGTTGGGGATTGTAATTGGTAGCCCTAATGACATTGTCACTGCTCAAATGCTTAACAAAGGGTATGTCCCAGGCACTGGACTTGGAAAAAATAACAATGGGCTCCTACAGCCTTTACAGCCTAGTGGAAAAACCGATCGTACTGGTCTAGGGTATTTTCCCTAGGGCCCTCGGTCTTTCCTGTAGCCCATGCTGAAAAAATCACGTGGCTGTCGGACCAGCCCGTGTGGGTTGACCAATGGCCCCTCTCAAAGGAAAAACTAGCCGTTGCACAGCAGTTGGTACAGGAGCAGCTGCTGGCTGGACATATTGAACCTAGTAATTCTCCCTGGAATACGCCAATTTTTGTTGTAAAAAAGAAGTCAGGAAAATGGCGGTTGCTACAAGATTTAAGGGAAGTAAATAAATCCATGGTCCTTATGGGAGCTTTACAACCTGGCCTCCCTTCCCCTGTAGCCATACCTCTGGGATTCTACAAAGTTATTGTAGACTTAAAAGACTGTTTCTTTACTATCCCTCTCCATCCAGAGGATTGTAAGTGTTTTGCTTTCAGCCTTCCTGCAATTAACTTTAAAGAGCCTATGAAGAGATATCAATGGAAGGAGGCAAACCTCAGGGCATGGCCAACAGTCCCACCTTATGGCAGTCATATGTGGCCATCGCCATTGCTGAAGTTAGAAAAGATTGGAAGGATGTATACATAATCCATTATATGGATGATATACTTTTAGCAGTAGCAAAAGAGGAAGTGGTATTGTCTTGTTTCAAAAGTCTACAAACTGCCCTTACTGCTAGTGGATTAGTCATCGCCCCAGAGAAGGTGCGACTTACTGATCCCTACACTTACCTAGGATTTCAGTTAGGTGGAACTCGCCTATCGACTCAAAAGGTGCAACTCAGGCTAGACTGTTTAAAAACCCTCAATGATTTTCAAAAATTATTAGGAGACATAAACTGGCTGTTACCTTATCTGAAATTATGCAAAGCTGACCTCAAGCCCCTATACGATACATTGGTAGGGGATCCCAGTCCTACTTCTTTAAGACAACTCACCCCTGAAGCAAAATCAGCTATCAATTTAGTTAACCAAGCTATCAATAACCAAACCATCACCTTTTTTGATATTGACAAACCACTCCAATTTATAATATGTCATACCTCATTATCTCCCACAGCTGTGTTCTGGCAAACTGCTCCACTTCCATCTTCCTAATATGCCCACTAAAGTCATTGAACCTTACTACCTTATGGTAGCCAGTCTAATTACCAAAGGAAGAACCCTAGGCAAGGAATATTTCGGACAGGAACCTAACAACACTGTCCAACCTTATACCAAACAGCAGATCCATTGGCTCATGCTAAATACTGAAGCATGGCCCATTGCACTTGCCTCATATACTGGCAACCTCGATAATCATTATCCTCCCAATAAGCTTCTAGATTTTGCCAACAGACATGATTTCGTTTTTTCTAAAAATACCAGACTTCATCCCCTTCCAAATGGAATTACCATTTTCACCGACGGGTCATCCACAGGGCTTGCAGCCTTTGTTACCCCAAACCAAACCATCAGCTTTCAATCCCAATCTTCGTCTGCCCAATTAGCAGAGCTACATGCAGTTATAGCTGCATTTTCCATGTTTCCCAATGATCCTCTCAATGTTTATACAGACAGTGCATACATTGCTACCTCTGTCCCAAAGTTAGGAACAGCCCCATTCGTAAAACACACCTCAACAGCTGCAAAACTATTTTCTCAACTACAAAAGCTATTAATTTGCAGAACACAACCTTTCTACATTGGACATTTACATGCTCATTCAGGCTTACCCGGTCCATTAGCCTCTGGAAATGCCAAGGCAGACCTAGCCACCAGTGTTCTGTTAGTTCAACTCCCTAACACCCCTCTAGCTCAAGCACAACATTCACACAACTTGCATCATCTTAATGCTCAATCCTTGAGACTACTCCATCATATAACTAGAGAACAAGCCCGACAAATAGTAAAGTCCTGCACACAATGTGCCCCTCACTTACCGGTCCCACATCTTGGAGTTAACCCTCAAGGCCTCCTACCTAACACCCTTTGGCAAATGGATGTCACCCACATCCCAGAATTTGGAAATCTTAAATATGTTCCTGTCTGCCTTGATACTTGTAGTGGATATATCTTTGCCACTTTACAAACTGGAGAAGCCACAAAACATGTTATTGCTCATCTTTTAACTGCCTTTGCATCCCTGGGGCGTCCACGTAAAATCAAAACTGACAACCGGCCTGGTTATGTCAGTACAGCCTTCACTCAATTCTGTACTCACCTAAACATTCAACATGTTACAGGCATCCCGTACAACCCCCAGGGACAAGGCATAGTAGAAAGAGCTCATCTCACCATAAAAACCACTCTAAATAAAATAAAAAAGGAGGAATGGTACCCCTGTAAGGGATCACCAAAAAACCTTTTAGCACACTCCTTATTTATTTTAAAATTTTTAACACTAGATCAAGAAGGACACTCTGCTGCCGATCGACACTGGCATTTTGAATCCAAAAGCCATTATGCATCAGTAATGTGGAAAGATCCCATGACGGGCGCATGGCATGGCCCGGACCTGGTCCTGATTTGGGGTCGAGGATCGGTGTGCATTCATGCCAAGGAAGCCAATTCGGCCAGGTGGCTTCCCGAGAGACTTGTAAAGCAAGTAGATACCAAAAAAATCCGAAAAACCAACTCCACCCAGGGATGACACCGAGCCCTGAGGGTCTTCTATCTTTTTCCTTTTTAGGAGTCAACAATGTCTATCGGTCCTGTTATACTCAGCAAACTCATGAGCTTCTCAAGATCACAAATTGAGGCCATAAAGATGCAGCCCATTCAGGTCCATTACCACAGGCTGGAAATGGCAGACCTAGAGATGGAGCTTGATTCATAAAACACAAAGGTTATACCTTTCCTCTCAGGTCATCCAGCGAGCTGAACCGGTTAGCCAATGACAGGCAACTGAGGAGCATGAGTAAGGACACTCTGCCTAAGATAGGGAGGAAAACGTTTTTCCCCTCCCCATGACAGATATGGAGTCAATGTTCTCTCATGTGGGGTCCTCTGACCTAAGACAGGCACGGTTCCTGCCAGCATAACTACCCCTCAGCCTAATTTCTAAATAAAATAAAAAAGGGGGACCTGTGGGCAGCAATAGCCGCCATTTTGTGATCTGCTCAGCCATGTTGTGGTTTGTGTTTAATGTTTCCTGTTGACAAGTTTCAGTTTAATGCTTCCTGTTGACAAGTTTCAGTCTTTGTTTCCTCGCTGATAAGTTTCAGTAATGTTTCAGTTTCTGTTTCTCCCCTGAATGTTTCAGTTTCTGTTTCTTGCTGGTAAGTTTCAGTTTTGAAACTTAGGAAGGCCGGAATTTCCCAACTGCAAGCTTCCTTTGCCCCGCCTCTCTGCCTGAGCCTATTTAAGCTGTGAGCTTAGCAACAATAAATGAGACTTGATCAGACTCCTGTCTTGTCTCCATTCTTCGCGTCTCCTGCCCATCCATCCCCACTCCCTCCCTTCGAGCTCCTGTTGTTGTCCTGCAGGTCGGGACAAGGAGAGGGTCAACAGGCATTATAGGTCTTTTAGCCTGTGAGGGCCCAGGCCACAAGACAGATAGTAACAAGTCAGGAGTGGGAGAGGAGAGGTAGATTGTTAATCAGGGAAAAGTTTTCAATTCAGAAGCACCATCTCATGTTTGGAATGAAGAGTGCAAATAGGTTGCCTGAGGGGAGAAGTATGCAATCAGAAAGCATTCTATATTAACTCCTGTCCAGCAAGAGTGAAAGAAAATTCATGGGAACCTGCAAGAACAAAGGGCACAGCAAAGCTGGAACAAACACAGCAATCCAGGCAGGGGATTTCCAACTCATCTGCTAGTATATATAAGCTGGATGCAAATTCCTTTTTCTGTCTCATTTCTGCCCCCTTGACTGCAGAGATGGCTCGCAATGCTTCCAGCCTCTGTGTAAGCTGGGATTTGATAAAACGGATGGGGAAAGGAAAAGCACTTTCAAGAGTTGGGGAGAGATCTTAGAAACAGAGGATGGACAGTGCTCAGGGCTCTGGGTGGCTGGGCAGGCATCCTTAAGTGGAAGAGGCTGGCATTGACATGTGCATATGGGAAGGGTGATTATCTGAAAAGGAACTGGTTATCTGGCTTCTGTGTTCTTTTTTAAATCAGACCTTGCAATAGTTACTCTTTGGGATCAATGGTAGGAAAAAAGGTGAGGGTGAACCTTGTGTTCCACAGGGCTGGTGAGATTTAAAATTATGGAAACATTTTTTAGGGTCCTTAAACTTAATCTTTTCCCTCTCCTTTGAGGGAGAGAGAAGGAGAGCTTCTCTCAAAGGAGAGCTTCACAAAACTTTTATCTGAAGTTGTTAATGATCAAACACATTACTTTATATAAGAAAGTATGCACTATGGAGAGAGCCTGGAATTAAGGCAACACTTAACACAGATCCTCCAGTGAAGAAATGTCTGCAATATCTAGATTGGGAAAATATTTCTGAATGGAGGATGAGGGAGGTCTTTTCAGGCTTTCAAGTGGCCATTAGGGGTGAGTTTTCCCATCTTTTAGGATTTCCCAGTTGTTGAAATAAGACCTAGATATAGTCCCCTACCTTCTGTGAGTGAAGCCCTAGTCTAATCAAAGGAGCTCACATTCTATATTAGGTAGATATAAAAATATAAGAAATATAAATTAATAAGAAACACTGAACATAGTGTCACTGTTACATGTAAGTTATTATTACAAAGCAGTGGGATATTTGAAAAGAAACTAACAGTTCAGTGATTATGTGTCCTACTCAGGATTTCCTTCTGAAGTAGTGACAGAGGGTTTCCTATGTCTGTGAGTATCTTATGAAGCTATCATATTTTGGAAATTCTCTTTGAGAGTTGTTTTGAGAGTCTGGTGTACATGTTTTGAAGCTTTGTATTTACTTTTTGACATTTGATAAACTTTATCTGGATAGGAGAGGCAGATAAATAAGGTGGAAAATCATTAATTACATTTTGAGGTGGATAAAAGATGTTTTTTACATCCATTGAAATGCGTGGAAAAACAAAATAAAAAGATGACCAACTAAAAAAATCACACATTTATAATTTTATAAAGGAGACTTTATTTCTTATGAAGGGTTATAGTCTGCAGGGTAGCCATTCTGACAGGCTGGGAAGCTCAGCTTCTGGTTGAAGACCAAAAAAAAAGCAAGCACTTTGCAGGAGGAAAGCACTTTGCACAGGAATTTATGCTAAAGGAGTTTGCTAAGTATACATATTTAATAGGTTATAGCAGAGACAATGAATATTTATGAAGGGGGTCCTAATGCATGCATATTGAATAAGCTTGTATATTACATACCACCCATAGTCACTCTGAAGTGGAGCCTTAACATTTAATTGCATTACAGTTAGGTCTTATACATGAAAAGGTGAAGCGGGGACACAATGGCATTCAAATGCACAGCTTCTGTAAACTAGCCAGAACCAGTCTATGGTCAGTGGTCTCTTAAAATGAGAAAATTACTGAAATCAGTCTTTTGTCCAATTAAAACTGTAGTTATGGCTTGTGGAACAGGAGGTCAGTTAGCCTGTGGATGAGCTGTAATTGTTTTAATATTGTTCTTGAGGCCAGTGCTTGTTTAGCTGCTAGAGAAAAAAGAAAAAATTTTGGGCAGTTAGAACATAGTTTATTCTTTTTTTTTTTTTTTTTGAGACGGAGTTTCGCTCTTGTTACCCAGGCTGGAGTGCAATGGCACGATCTCAGCTCACCGCAACCTACGCCTCCTGGGTTCAGGCAATTCTCCTGCCTCAGTCTCCTGAGTAGCTGGGATTACAGGCCATAGTTTATTCTTTAAATGTAGGGATGCATGACTTAACTCTTGCTTGGTATAGTCTTAGGTCTTGTTTATAATTTGCTATTTTATTGACACACAAAAAAATCCATCTTATAATCTTTAATGTTGCTGGGTCAGTTGTGTCTAAACTACAGAAGGGAAAAGATATAATGAGTCGTGTCCAACCTGTTCCATCGTGACTGAGATGTCTTATTTATTTATTTATCTTGAGACTGTCTCACTCTGTTGCCATCTCTGTTCATTGCGGCCTCTGCCTTCAGGTTCAAGTGATTCTCATGCCTCAGCTTCCTGAATAGCTGAGATTACAGGCACTCGCCACCCCACCTGGCTAATTTTTGTATTTTTAGTAGAGATGGAGTTTCACTAAGTTGACCAGGATGGTCTCAAACTCTTGGCTCAAGTGATCAGCCCACCTCAGCTTCCCAAAGTTCTGGGATTACAGGTGTAAGCCACCACACCCAGCCCAATGACTACATTTTCAAAGTTTCTCTAGGGTCCCCCAGAAGAAGAGCAGGTCCCTTCAGTTGGTTGGGGACTCAGGATTTTATTTTTCATTCTCGAGATTTTTTTTTTTTAAATGTGTTTTTAAAGGAATGGGACAAATTTTCTTATTTGTGTTGTAACTTGGTAATTCCAAAAGAGAAGTCCCAAGAAACAGAGGGACACTTGTTACTGGACAGGAGCTAGAGGACCAGATAAACAGTGGAAGGGTAGGAGCCACTGTGGTGGGGGACAGGAGTGTAAAGGGAGGCAGGCATCCTAGGCAACTGCCTTGTGGCTTTCACTTCCCAGGTACATGTCCTTTCCAAGGAATGGGATTTAATGACTTTTGATGTCAACCCAGATGACAGCATGAAGAAAATCAGTGAACATGTCTGTTCTAAGACCAAGATTCCTGTCCAGGGCCAGGTTCTTCTGATGGGGTCCAAGGTCCTAAAGCCACAGAGAAGACTCTCATCTTATGGCATTGACAAGGAGAAGACCATCCACCTCACTCTGAAAGTGGTGAAGGCCAGTGATGAGGAGGTGCCCTTGACTCTCATGGAGTCAGGTGATGAGGGGCAGCCACACCTCCTCCAGGTGCGAAGAACAAGCTCAGTGGCACAGGTGAAAGCAATGATCAAGACCAAGACAGGTGTAACCCCTGAGACCCAGATTGTGACTTGCAATGGAAAGAAACTGGAATATGGGAGAAGATGGCAGATTACGAAATCAGAAAGGGCAATTTACTCTCCCTGACACATTATTCCATTGGAGGGTGACCACCCTGGGGACTGGGTGTTGGCGGGGGTCAAAAAGCCTATTTCTTTTAATCTCTTACTCAATGACCACATCCTTTGATGATATCCTAAAATTAATGAGAATGAGAGGAGTAGGGTAAGATTTGGATGGGATGGGTAGGATGAAGAATATTGTCCAACTCTATGTTTCTTTGATTCTAACACAATTAATAAGTGGCAGGATATTTAAAATGTATTACTGAGAATAGAAAATAATTTTTTTTTTTTGAGACAGAGTCTCGCTCTGTTGCCAGGCACCAGGCTGGAGTGCAGTGGCACGTTCTCAGCTCACTGCAACCTCCATCTCCTGGGTTCAAGCAAGTCTCCTGCCTCAGCCTCCTGAGTAGCTGGGACTACAGGAGCATGCCACTACACCCAGCTAATTTTTGTATTTTTAGTAAAGACGGGGTTTCACCATGTTGGCCAGGATGGTCTCCATCTCTTGACCTCATGATCCATCTGCCTCAGCCTCCCAAAGTGCAGGGATTACAGGCGTGAACCACTGCGCCCAGCCAGAAAATAAAATTTTAAGGCATAACAGAGAGAGCATCCAAAGCCAGCTTGGAATTTAATTCTTTCTTGATACCTTGTTATTTATGGAAAAACTCCTATCTTTCCTTTACGACAAGAGAGTCAGTTTTAGGTCTGGATCTATGTTCTACTGATTTCTGTCTTTGTTAAGACCAGTGCTTTATTTATATCACTCAACAATGTTTGAACCAAACTGAATTTCTATTTATAGAGCACAGTGAAATGATTTATTATAAAATGAATTGATTTCTCCGACATGATCACAAATTACTAAATATTTTAGAAATTAAATTAAGCTACCTCCCCTACACTCCCCCATCCCTTTTCCTTTAAAGCTATTTGGTATGAAATAAAGTCTGGCCTTCTCTTATTCTTTATGTCTCACACCCAACTAAAATAGTTATTATTCTGAGGATGATGGTGGGCAAGGATAGGTATTTTCCACAGGGACCTAGTGATTCTGTGTCACTAGTGAGGGTTCCTAGGGGTAGATGTACATTGGGAGGGAACAAACTTTCTGGAGCTAGGGGACTGTGGGCCACCATCTCTCCTACCTGTCTTAGGGTCTGTCAGGTCTTCTCCAGGATGAGAGCACCAATCTGGGTGAGGGTGGGTGAGGAGCTGGCTTCTGGGTTGTCCTCAATATTCTGGTCAGGTTCTGCTGATTGAATATTTTCCTCTCTGCTTTTTTTTTCATTAGAAGATCACTGTTCCTGTCTTGAGAACTTGAGTCCCTTCCTCCATTTATTCCTCCATTTACTCTCTCTCTCTTGTTCTTTCATGTCTCACAACTGATCACTTGTTTTTTCACAGCCTGAGACATGCTTGCCTTCTTTCACACTCATCCTAGTTCCTTGTTTCTTTAAAACTTGCTCAAGAACCAACTCGTGTAGGAGGGTTTCCCATCTCAGCTGCACTCAGCAAAATTCACCACCATTTATGGGCTTTGGGCTTTCTTCATCACACTTAAGAGTGAAATGCCCTTGGGAGGGCACTGGTCATCTGTCAAGGTCTGCACTAGGTTGGTCTGATTTCCTAGAAGAGAGTCCATGGCCACTTTTTCTGGATGTACCCTCTCCTGGAGGATAGGGATTATGATTTTCTTGTGAACTTGAGACTTCTGATGGCAGAGACCAAGAGGTCTCCTATGGTCTTCCATCAGATAAGGAGGAAGTTAAAGGCGAGCGTCATGTCCATCATCTTACCTGCGTGTGGAGTCATAAGGTTTTCCCTCCCTAAACCTGTATATATAGAGGATGTAGGGATGTTCTCTCAAGAATCTAAACATTTCCTCATGGGAGGAAAGTATTTTTCCCATTGGACTCTGTAAGACAAATCTTGGAGATTATCATACAGAAATGAACAGACTGAAGACTAAACCGACTCACGATTAGGTATTTTCATCCTTGGGTTCTGGCTTAATACTTTCTCTCCTCCCCAACCCACTCACTGTTCAGCTTGGCCTCTCCCCAGGCCTCCCAGCAGCCTCCTCGCCGCCCCCTTCACTTCCTTATTCCTGAGAGTGTATATGAGCGGGTTGAGGGCGGGTGTGACCACGGTGTAGAAGAGAGATACGAACTTGCCCCGCGCCTGGTCGTAGCGCTGCGCCGGCTGCAGGTAAGTGTAGACAGCCGAGCCGTAGAACAGGCAGACGGCTGTCAGGTGGGACCCACATGTGCCCACCGCCCTCCTCCGGCTTCCGCTGGACCTCATGCGACAGACAGCTCGGGCCACGGCACCGTAGGAGGCCAGGATGACGGCTGACGGCAGCAGCAGGATGACCACGCGGGCGGCGAACATCTGGCTCTCGGTAGCGTCTCCGTCGCCGCCGCAGGCCAGCTTGAGCAGCGCCGGCAGCTCGCAGATGAAGTGGTCCAGCAGGCGGGGCGCGCACAGGGGCCGCTGAGTCAGGAGCGCAGTTTGCGCGACGGAGTTGGCGAGGCCGCCTAGCCAGGAGGCGCCGGCCAGAGCGCGGCAGAGGCCGGGGGAGGCCAGGCCAGCGTAGCGCAGCGGGAGGCACACTGCGGCCGCGCGGTCCAGCGCCATCACAGCCAAGAGGACGCACTCGGCGGAACCCAGCGCCAGCGATGCGCACAGCAGGGCCGTGCAGTGGCTGCGCGCGAGCCAGAGCGCCGGTCCGCGCAGGTTGGCCAGCAGCGGCGGCACCACACTCGAGGTGAAGCCCGCGTCCACCAGGGCCAGATGGCAAAGGAAGTAGTACATGGGCGTGTGCAGGCGCGGGTCGCGCACCACCAGCAGCACCAGCGCCGCGTTGCTGGTCAAGGTCAGGAGGTAGCAAAGGAGGACAAAGGCGAAGAGGACCGGCTGCAGGGAGGGCCAGTCGGAGAAACCCAGCAGGAGGAAGCGCTCCTCTGTGCTGTAGTTGGCCTAAAGGAGGAAAACTCCCAGAATGTTTGGAAGGCCGAAATAAAAAAGGGTGAGTACCCCTTATAAGCAAAGGAAAAACCTTGGAGTGTGGGAATGGGCTGGGCGAAGGAATGGAAGCATATGCAAGGTTAGTTTGTGAATTGTAATCCCATTCATGGATGAGATTACTCAAGAATAATCCCCCTACGAATAAGAGCAACATTCCAAGCTTGGCGTAGCCAACACTCGGTAGACAAAATGATCACTTCTGTTGTTTCAGGTACTCTGCTTTTATTTATGCAACTGTTCATGTAAAATGGAGACTAGACCAGAAGAATCCCTGAGCAGATAGATCCAGTTGGGCTTCCTAAGTGACCTTAACCTTGCTTGATTTGCAAGCATGTCTGAAACTTTGTGTTATGTCTTGTAAATGCCTATACAAAAGAAACAGAACTTAAGCTCAACCAATCAGAAGCAGTCAACAAAACATAATTATGTAACCAAGGACTTCCTCATGGGATAGACCAAATAAGGCAACTATATAACTACCAATGAAATATTATCTTTGCTTTTATCTGTGTTCTAAAAATCCTTCTCCTCATGTTCTCTCTGTGGAGCTCCCTAGCCACTTCTGACTTTGAGCTGCCCAATTCATGAATCACTGCTCAAGTAAAAGCTTAAATATTTTATTGGGCCTCAGTTTACTTTCTTTTTTCTTTTTGAGACAGAGTTTCACTCTTGTTACCCAGGCTGGAGTGCAAGTGGTGTGATCTCGGCTCACCGCAACCTCCACCTCCTGGGTTCAGGCAATTCTCCTGCCTCAACTTCCTGAGTAGCTGAGATTACAGGCACGCGCCACCATGCCCAGCTAATGTTTTTGTATTTTTAATAGAGACAGGGTTTCACCGTGTTGACCAGGATGGTCTCGATCTTTTGACCTCGTGATCCACCCGCCTCGGCCTCCCAAAGTGCTGGGATTACAGGCTTGAGGCACCACGCCCGGCCCGCCTCAGTTTACTTTCTAACACAACCCATTATACTGCTGATTACTGATTTTTAATTTGTTGTGAATAGAGAATACACCCAATATCCATGCCCCTCCCACTGAGGGGAGATCAGCACATGCATACTAGCCTTTAAATCAGGAATCAGTTGGGTAGGAAAAAGAACACTTTCTGGTAAACCAGAAGTCAGGAGATCTTGGTTTTACCTAGCATAGCTCCCTTTAGCCAGTTACCTGATATGGGGAAGTCTTCATTTCCCTCTGTCCCAATTTTTTCATGTGTAAATCAAGGATATTGAACTAGATGACATCTAAGTTTCCTGTCCCATCTCCCTGGCTTTACTATCAAATATTGATCAAAAAATGAAATAAAAAGAAAACCAGAAAACAAAAGGAACCTCATTCTCCAAAGGGTCTTGTTGAATCAAGTGTACAGAACCACATGGTTTATGTGATGGATAAGATGGATAAGAATCTTTCTGCTGCACGACTCCTGACATAAATTATTGATGGATAACTTATTTTACACATCATATTCACTGCTGTTAATTAAAAAATTACGATAACCTAATTTTTCATTTTTTCAGGGAATAAAACACTGTTACCTACCAAAACATCCTGTTTGATTGTATTTCTATCATTTTATCCTCACTGGGCAAAACAAGCATTAATACTGTGATTAAGAACCAGGCCTCAGCAGCCAGACTGCCTGGGTTCGAGTCCTGGCTCTGCCATTTTCTTTTTCTTTTCTTCATTTTTTTTTTTTTTTCTTTTGAGACCGAGTCTCTCTCTGTCACCAGGCTGGAGTGCAGTGGTACAATCTTGGCTTACTGCAACTCTGTCTCCTGGGTTCAAGCAATTCTCCTGCATCAGCCTCCTGAGTAGCTGGGACTACAGGTGTGCACTATGACATCCAGCTAATTTTTGTATTTTTAGTAGAGACGAGGTTTCACCATGTTGGTCAGGGTGGTCTCTATCTTTTAACCTCATGATCTGCCCATGTCAGCCTCCCACAGTGCTGGAATTAGGTGTGAGCCACTGTGTGCAGCCTGACTCTGCCATTTTCTAGCTGAGCAATCTTGGGCATATTACTTGGCCTCTCTCTGCCTCAGTTTCCTCATATGAAAATTGAAATATGTTAAATGGGCTAAATATGAAAAGCTGTTAGAACAACACCTGGCACAAAGCAGGCATTAACTATTGTCATCCCTTAATAGATGCTAACTATTGTCACATCTGTTTCCCAAACCAAGAAACAGGTTTCTAAGTGGTTCTTATGCTAGGCAGTGATGTAACTGCTATGAACATTTACATCCCTTTTCATTTATTAACTCTAATCTTTAGTCACTTAAAAATTATTTTATAGAGTATGTTAGGAGAGTAATTGAAGTTAATTTACTTGCCCAAGGCCAGATCATTTGTAAATGCTTAATAAGTTTCCACTTGTATTTGACTAACTTTGAGGGCCTTACCTGTTTGATCAACCAGGCTCCACTTTGCTAGAGACTGTGGAGTATAAAAGGATATGTAAAGTCTGATCTATATTTATAGTTAATTTTATAATTTGGGATCATATCAGAGATGAGTAAAGTAGAAGAGGCTTACAGACCAATGGTGGCTAGAGGCTAGAGATGTCGAATTACAAAAAGTCAAATTCCTTAGTGCTGTGATTACATGATCACACAACAGTTTAGCCAGGCAAGCTCTAAACCATTCCTCTTCAAATATGCCACACCATGAAAAGAGGCACACAATAATAAAACTACATAGATAACATTCTTGTTACACGTGTGAACAAATTCTCCAATACATAGGCATATGTGCACCTGTACACATAAACCCATCATTGCCGTCACAGGTCTAGAAGACAAATCTGTTGTGAAATAGATAATGTGTCATCAAACTTCACTTGGTATTTCAGAATGCACCTCTCAGTATAAGACCATTTAATTTTTTGTAGGACAATCTAATATCCAACTTACCTTCATGTCTACTCTTTGCACTGATATTTACACCTTGAGTTCCAGGTGATAGGTTGGTCTCTTGCTCCTGCTCTGGATTCTCTGGATTTGAAATGGCAGTTGGGAGGATTTAATAAAAGATGTAATTGTGTGCCTGTGTTAATTTCTGGAATGGGTGCCTGAGATCAAAGCCAGCTATCTCAGGAAAAAGGACAGGGGGTGGATGTCATTGTGCTTGTCAGTAGAGGAATAAAAAGAATGGATAAGAAAGAACTTAAGTTTGTGAAATTTTGAGATCTAGGCAGAGATGGTGATGTCTTGTTCCTGGAGAACCTTGTAATGGGGTATATACAAGACAAGGTTTTGTACTGGTAGCAAATCAGCATTAGCTGGTATTGGTAGCAAATATCCTTCCTGGATCTAAAGGACACAACAGTTAGAGAGAAGGAGGAAGCATGCTGATGAGTGCCCTCACTAGAGAAGAAACAAGGCAATCAACATTCCCTGTTATTTAGAAGAAGGGATGGAGCTCTGGGGAATTGACGTCACTCCCATGATTAGTACTTTGCATGAAGGTGTCTGGAGAGGAATCCCCAAGAGTGGGGAAGAGGAAATTCTGGAGGGAAAGTCCCTTTAGGGTAGTGTGTCTCTGGCAGTGTATGAAGGCAAGGGGCAGCATAATTCCCTCTCATCATTTTTACTGTTAAATTGGAACTGGTTTAGAATTTCATTTTCTGATGGAGTGATGAAGTTAGCTAATTGCTTAACTTCAGTGATTCTCAATGTCATCATCTGTAAAACAAGGAAAAAAACCTTTTTTTTGTCAGAAATTTTGTAGATTTCTTGAAGTCATTCTCAGTTTTGAATGTCGCTTTCACTGTTATGTCATCAGCTTTGTGCCAAAGCCCGCCTTCCTGCTTGTGACCGTCATCATTCTCTCCCTTCACTCTTCTTTGTCCTTGCAGATCTTTTTCCCTGATCCCCTCTCACTCTCTCCAGTCCTACAACTGTGATCATTCTTGGTGAATTCAGTATCCACATAGATTATCCTTCCATAATCTCTCCTTTCAGTTCCTTTCTCAGTGAGAGGTCTGCAAATTCATCATGGCCCCTTGCACCCCTTGAATCTTCACTTCTTTACCAAGCGTAGACTGTCTGATCAATCATTATAATTACTCCTTTGCATACTCTCAATGTTCCTGCCCTTTTCACTTGTTAGACTCTTTCTCTAAACTACTATCCCATTTAAATCCAACTGTAATCCTACTCTCTCCCTGTATTTGTTCAGCTGACTGTGGCTGAAGAAAAGCCCATAGCCACACTGAGAGGCTTCACTTTACATTCATGACTACTACTATTAGGGGAAGGGGCTAATGTCATGGACAATCATATTTCCCTAGTCCACTCACTTTCTCCTCTCCTACATAACTCATGCACACTTTCTGGTCTCTCCTCAAATCTCCAGTCCTCCTCCTCTCTCTCAAATAATATCCTTCTCAGATAAAAATTTTACTTCATTTTTTTACTGAAAAAATGTAAAGCAATCAAAAGAGAAGCTGTTATCAACCCATCTGTTCACCTACTTGGATCTGTGCTCACATATAGGACTACATTTTTTTCTGACGCCACTAGGAATAGAGACTATTTTGTATCTATCTGATGCCAGTATCTCCACTTGCTCTGATGCCAGTATCTCCACTTGCCCTCCATATTCCATCCTTTCCACTTATTCAGGGATATCACGCTAGTTTTTCCCCCTCTTTCCTGTAACATCATTTGCCCTTCCAGTGGACCATCCCCATCAATACCTAAACATACTTGGATTTCCCTCATTAAAAAATAATCTCTTGATTTCACCTCCCCCTAGCTACCATCCAAGTCCTTACTTTTGCACCACTTCTCTACTCCCATTCTCTTTTGAGTTGGCTCCAACAAGGCTTCTGCACCGGAAATCTTTCATCAAAGGTCACAAACCAACCTCCACATTGATATAGTAGTTTTCAGTCTTCACACTACTTAACTAATTAGAAGCATATCTATAGAGTGCACTTAGGTTCCTTTTTGGAACTTGCCTTTCGCCTCAAAATTCATATGTTGAAGAACTAATCTTCAATGTGATGGTATTTGAAATGGGCATTTTAGGAGGTAATTATAGTTAAATGGGGTCATAAAGGTGAGGGCCTAATAGGGTTAGTTTCCTTATAAAAGAGGAGGAAAAGGGCTGGGCACAGTGGCTCTTGCCAGTAATCTCAGCACTTTGGGAGGCCAAGGTGGGCGAATCATGAGGTCAGGAGTTCAAGACCAGCCTGACCAACATAGTGAAACCCTGTCTATGCTAAAAATAAAAAAAAGTAGCTGGGTGTAGTGGCAGGTGCTTGTAATCCTCTGAGGAGCTAAGGCAGGAGAATTGCTTGAACCTGGGAAACGGAGGTTGCAGT